CGTTGTAGAGATACACTCGCTCCTCCTAAACTCGCGGTATCTGAGGGGAGCCACGACTCTGCGGGATGTCATCTCGCATGCCACAAAGTGACCACATGAAGATTCTCACCTTCCAGCTTCTTTGACGTAACCATACATATCGGTACCATCAGAGGCTTTGGCAATGTCGTCACCATGCACCGCATAATCGATGCGATGCTGAGGGAGAAAAGGTAACAACAGTCAAGTGGTAACGACGATGCGTGTTGGCAGGAAGAATCCCAGCACTGCTGAAGCCCGTCCAGTAGCGCGAGATAATTTAGCGTCACGGAGACAATACCTTATCCAGGAACTCCACTGTGAGGGGCTTGTAAGGAACATCGTGCACAATGTCATCCACCCACTTACAGGACCTCAACATCGTCTGGAAAACCCATTAGCGCGTCACAAACGTGATAGCTATTCACATCACCTCCTTCTCCTCTTCCGAACAGACGAATTCCCCTCCTTTCACTCGACGGATTTCCTTGTTAGGGTGGATTCCAGCCACGACTTCAACACGAACCCTCTGAGAGTCGAAAATCCCTCGAGTGGACGCCTCTTACAACCATTCCTCGCAACTGACTCCTAGGCAGCCTAGGCTAGGCTTCCATAAATCGTCCCAAACAGACGCACACCCGAACAATACTTTGCGTGCCGCCCGCTACTATCGTCTAGAGCCGTGCAAGAGAAATGAGAAACGAGGAGGCCACGACAAAGAGCACATCTAACTATCCGATAGTTACTATCGAATGAAAGCTCGAGGAATAGGGAGTCTAAGACTCCGAGTCTTCGATAACGTGAAACCTCCCCACTACTACACACAGATAACAACACAAAGAATGGTACAAGGCTAATGGGGGCACAGCCTTCTTACCTCCCCTTCCAGCTGTTTTTCCTTCTCAATTTCGTAAGCAATGGTCGCAACCTAAATACAACTCAAAAATCCAGGCTCAACCCGCACTTGCCACTTACTTGTCTGATGGCATTAAAGTGACCAGTGTGCATCAGATCCCAGCATCCACATATCAAGATACGCATAGTCCT